TTATTGTTCTACTCCACTTTCTTAGCATGGGCTTGGTTTGAAAAACCTCAAACCCGTCACACACATCGCTATAAGAATTTGATAATTAAACCTATGTTAATAGAAGAGATGTTTAGCCTCCCTATCAACTCGAGAGTATTATATCAGAATAGGGCACTCACTAAATTATTCATTATTGTACAGTCAGAACCAACTTATTATAGTTACTCCTTGGAGGCCCTTCTAGTTAATTCTGTTTGGGTTAATTGCTTCCTTTCCACAATCTTAGGAACTAAAAGAAGAAAAAAGTTTTTTTTTATCTCCCTTCACACTTCTTCTGGCTGCTGCAGATCCACGTGGCAATATTATTAAATTTTGGAAAGCTACTAGCCATCATTACCCAACTTGAGAACTTTGAACCTCAGAATAAAGTGTCCCCTAAGGAACTTCTGATAGAACTTAACTTGATCTCCATATCGAAACAAGCAACCTTAAAATGGTGCAGAATATAGGGTATTTGCTCTCGAACGAAGGAGAAGGAAAAGTACAATATTTTATTATGGCATGAATAATGATATTTTTGCATGAAGTCTACGAATAATGCTAAGTTAACTTGGAGATAATCATCTCCTAATAAATCCAATATGTAGGCAGATTTTAGAATTTTAATTTTTTGCACAAATCGCTAGCAAGCAATCAAATAGAAGTTGATAACTTCTAAATTTGGATTTATACGGGAGATAACAACATCCCATGGTATCAAGGAACTTGAGGAAGAAATATTATGGCAACATAAAGTAAGGAGGAGAAAAAAAAAGAAAGGAGAGCGATATAACCTCATGGACCCCTGATTTCGAATCATACTCTTTCAATAAGATCAAGCGTTCTTCAGGTGTTAATACGAGGCACTGTACTTTAATTGACACATACATCCACGGTGGAAAACTGGAGCCTGTATGAGAGGGCCGGGTCTTGGTTGTCGAAAACCTCATATTGTGCCTTATCCTAACCCCTAAAGGGTGGTATTATGATAAAATTTATCAAGGGGTTGAAGAATTTTTTTTTTATCAAACAATTTCTAAATTTTTTGAGATTATTTTGGCAAAAAGGTAAATTACTTTTTAAATATTTTAAAAGAAAAGAAAAATATAAGTAATAATGAAGTTTAATTGGCTGTCGCATCAATGTGAGGCGGCCTGTAAGCCGTCTAATGAGTAGGCAAAAAAGAAAAAAAGAAAAAGGGAGAATTTAAGGGGCTCGTTACGAAGCTGCCCCATGCTCACAGAACATGGGAATTGTTGGTGCGATGCGATCGCTCGCCATCCACGCAGCCAGCTTGCTGATTAATGTCCCAATGTTGTGTTCGGCGCCTGAAATTTTTAGCCAGCACATTGATTCACATCTTTGGGCTGCTCGCGATTGTTTTTATAAATGTTATAGAATCTCAATTTTGCCTACCAAGACGCCAACAAACCTTAATATAGATTTTTGAGTCAATTACAGAATTTTGAAAAGAATTTTTTGACATTTTAATTCTTTGATCTAATGTCAAATATTCAATATGAAATGCTAGAAATTAAGATGATGATTTTATTAATATTGTTCACAGCCTGAAAAAAAAGAGTTTCATATATAACAGTCAGAGAGCGCTCTAATTAATTTAATATTTATAAAAAAAAATTAAATAACAATAAAATATAAAAAAAATATATTATAAATTATAAAATTAATAAATTAAAAATAGAATAAAAAAAAAAGAAAAAAAAAAAAATAAAAAAAAATAAAAAAAAAAAAGTAAAAAAAAGAAAAAAAAAAATAAAAAAAAAATAAAAAAAAAAAAAAAATAAAAAAAACAAAAAAAAAAAATAAAAAATATAAAAAATAAAAAAAATAATAACAAAAAAAAAAAAATATATAAAAAAAAAAAAAAAAAAAAAATAAAAAAATAAAAAATAATAAAAAATAAAAAAATAAAATAAAATAGAAAAAAATAAAAAAAAATAAAAAAAAAACAAAAAAAAAAAAAAAAAAAAAAATAAAAAAATAATAAAAAAAAAAACATTAAATAAAAATAATAAAAAAAAAAAAAAAAAATATAAAAAAAAATAAAAAAAAATAATAAAAAAAAAAAGAAAAAAAAAAAAAAACTAAAAAAAAAAAAAAAAAAAAAAATAAAAAAAAAAAAAGAAAAAATAAAGAAATAAAATAAAATATAAAACAAAAAAGTAAAAAATAAAAAAATAAAAAAAAAAAAAAATAAAAAAAAAACAAAAGAATAAAAAAAAAAAAAAAAAAAAAAACAAAAAATAAAAAACAAAAAAAAAAAAAAAAGAAAAAAATAAAAAAAAATAATTATGAAATAAATATAAAAAAAATAATAATTAATAAACAAAAAAATTAAGAGTAGCCTCACATCATTTTTTCTTAACCTTCTCTTTATTAATCTTCCTACCAACATTATTAGTGCCTCAATTCCCACATAACTTTCCGCCTCACCGCGCTTGGACATCTACCCCCTCAGGGGAACCTGTACCTTCTCAAAACTTGTCTATGACGAGCATGATTTATAAAGGTATAATCTTAGTTTGGAAACTTCCAAAATTATTACAGAAAGAACAAATTATCGAATATTGCAATTTCAAACAACTTTAAATACAAACTAAGGAGCATCACTCAAGGAAACAGATAAAGTGACACAAAAAAACTCAGTCCAATCCAAAGCCCAAATTGAATCAAAATACAAGGAATAAAGCAACATATAGAATGGATTTAAAAGCATTAGATTAGAAATATCCAATGATTTTTAAATATGAAATGCTTATAGTAGAAATTGAGTGATCAACGAGAATGATCTAACGCAAGACTATGCTTAACTTTGGATCAAATAAGACAACTTAATGCTTGAAAATGATCCATGATAAACGAGAATATAGATAATGAAGTCGTCAAGAACGGAGCATCGAATCATCATGGATATATAGATCGGAAAGCATACAAAAATAGGGTATAAAGAGAAATACTTACTCCATATTATACAGGGCGTTCCACTCAACAAAATTTGTAAACTAAACCACTCTTATACATGAACGAGACAATTTGCTAAGATATGGAGAAACTCTAGGCTTTCAACGATTAATAAAGCTCCAATCAGCCCACTGCAAAATAACAATACTTCCGTTGGCCAAAGACACAATACCGACTTGCTTGGACACCCGGGCTCTGCCAACACCACCTTGACGTAAACCACCCACCTAGTTGCACACCAACTATAGACCCTCCCGCTTCGTGCGAACACAACCTCACCCAAACCCCTATACTTGGACATCAATGATGAGTGAAACGTCCCTCCGATACTGATAATAATCATAACAAGAACACTTCCTGCCAAAACGTTTGTCAGACACACCCGATCCGCGACCTCCTGCCAGACTTCAGCCCGGCAGCCTAACTACCATCAAATCTCTGCCTAAGCTTGTAGGGTTGGTTGGTACTTTCTTCAGAACTTATCGTTGAGACCATTCCTTAGCCCCTGACAACCCGCAAACTTTCTT